AGAGAGGTGGGGGAGGAGGAGAGACTGGGGGAGAGGAAGGAGAGGAAATTGTAGTAGGGATGTAAAAAATACAAATAAAACCATTTTAAAAATTAAGTTTTCATTAATGTAAACTAATCAAAGATGCTAGCTGTAATCCTTAATTCCTAATGATATTCCTCTATTGTCATCAGAGAAGCACTGTTAACAACTGATGGGAACAGATGCAGAGACCCACAGCCAAGCACTAGGCGAAGCCAGGGGAACCCCACTAAGAATAGGAACCAGAGGGCTTAAGGACAGCACAAGAACAAGACCCACAGAATCAACTAAGCAAAGCTCATAGGGGCTCACAGACACAGAAGTGAGAAACACAGGCCCTGTATGGGTCCGAGCTAAGTTCACTGCATATATGCTGTGTTTGTTTAGCTTAGTGTTCTTGTGGGACAACTAACAGTGGGAGTGAGGGTATCTCTGACTCCTCTGCCTACTCTTGGGGGCCCTTTTCCTCCTACTGGGTCCTACTGGGTCACCTCATCCGGCCTTGATATGAGAGGTTATGCCTAGTCTTTTTTTTTTTAATCTATTTATTATGTATACAGTGTTCTGGGCACCAGATCTCATAGATGGGTGTGAGCCATCATGTGGTTGCTGGGAATTGAACTCAGGACCTCCGGCATAGCAGTCAGTGCTCTTAACCACTGAGTCATATTGTAACTTGCTATAATGTGTTCAGTTGCTATCTCTGGGAGGCCTGCTGGTTTTCTTTTTGGGGGAGGGGATATGCAAGTGAGAGGGGCTGGGAGGAGTGGAGGCAGAGGAAACTGCTTTTGGGATGCAAAGTATGTAAAAAAAATTTTAAAAAAAGATAATTAGGAAGGGAATAAAGTGCGCGTGCGTGCGTGCACACATGCACACACACACACACACCAATGGAGGGTGAATCAAAAGTTAATTAAAATGACATACTAGACAAAATTAATTCCATAAATGAATAAAATAATAGATATATATCCTATCTTATCAAAATAACCTAATACATTAAAATAAACAAACCAAAAACCTCAATCAAAAAGCCATGAGAAGCTATACCCATAAAGTCTCAATAATGTGGTTGCCTAAATAAGACCTGCACGATACAATCACAGGCTGACATGCTAACATTTGCAACAGTAAACAGACTGGACAGGTTTTGTATCTAAACATGCACACAAACATACACACATCAATTAATGCATGTTTGTATATAAATGTTGTGTAACACTAAATGGACTGAGCGGCTTTTGTATATAAACAAACACACAAACACATACATACACAGTCATGAATTTGAGAGGGAATGGGATTTAGTTTTGATCCAGTCATTATCTGGCAGAATGATATATTTTTGCATATTTATAAATTTCCTGTGTCTTAGTGATATTATTTTTCTACTTTTTTCCATTTAAAATAGAAGTAGTGAGTGGATATCTTTACTTTTTTTCTCTTGGTAACAAAATTTCAGTCTTTCACCGCTATTATACTATTAAGTGTTAACACATAAATATGAGCAAATAATTTCTCAAAAGAATGTGACAGTAAATAAGTGGGAAAGGGGAGAGTCCTTTGAATAACTTGTGCTCAAACATTTTTTTTTTTTTGAGACAGGGTTTCTCTGTGGTTTTGGAGCCTGTCCTGGAACTAGCTCTTGTAGACCAGGCTGGTCTCGAACTCACAGAGATCCGCCTGCCTCTGCCTCCTGAGTGCTGGGATTAAAGGCGTGCGCCACCACCGCCCAGCAGTGCTCAAACATTTATAGGAAGAAAAGTCAATCTCAATCTAGAGCTCATGGTAAAAATAGCAAGACAAAATGGATTACAGGTCTAAGTATAAAATGTGTAACTATAAAACCATAAGAAGAAAATACCAGAGAAGGTCTTTTACATCAACAGATACTAGGCAGAGTTCTTAATTCTTATACAGATACATTTGCACACACAACTAAGAAACTCAACAAGAGTTCAAAGCATTTTCTCTGAGGAGCGAGACCTATATAATGAAAGCTAGAAGATGCAGTTGAAACCAAAAATATAAAAAAGAAACAAAGAGCAGGTAAGCACTCATGACCATTTAGAAGACTTAATACTGTTAAAAAAAACCTCACTAGCCAGAGCTCTCTACAGACTCAATTCATTCACTACCAAAGGGTCAATGATGTGATTTTGTAGAAATAAAACATTCTACTCTAAAATACACATGGAATCTCAAGGGACCACCAAAATAATGAAGAAAATGTGAAAAAATACCTTAAGTATTACATATTATTACTTCCTGATTTCAAAACTTACTACAAAAATTAAAAGACCATGCTACATTCTAGGTGTGGTGGTGCACACCCTTAATCCCAGCACTCTAGAAGTAGAGGCAGGCGGATCTCTGTGAACTTGAGGCCAGCTTGGCTACAGAATGAGTTCCAGATAGCCAGGGCTACAAAAGAGAAATCAAGTGTCAAAACAAAACAACAGCGTGCTACTGGCATAAAGTCAGACACATATACCACCAAGAACCCAGAAATAAATTCTAATCCATATGGTAAATGATCTCTGAAGAAAGCAATAAGATCATTCAGTGCAGAAAGAACAATCTTCAAAAAGAACAGTCCTGGGGAACTGAATAGCAACAAGTGACAGGATCCTTATCTTAAACCATAGGCAAAAATTAACTCAAAATGGATCAAAGACCTAAAGAGTGAAAAATTGATAATAGCTCAGAAGGAAACATAGAGGAAATGCTTTGTAATACTAGATTTGGCAATGACTTCTTAGATATACTAAAAGAGGCATAGACAAAAGAAGAAAAATGAGAAAACACCGTGCATTAAAGGATAACAAGAAGAATAAAAAGCAGACACAGAACAAGAGAAAATATTTACAAGTCATGTATCTGAGAAGTGATTAATACCTAGATACCTGAATGGATATGTCTTTATAGAAGACACAAAGCTAAACAGTATAATGAAAAACTACACAGTAGCACTTATTAGGGAAATGCAAATAAAAACTATAACGACATACATCATGCCCTTTAAAGTAGCAATTATCCAAAAAGAGAAAACCCAAAAAATAACATGTGTTCGTGAGAATTTAGAGAAATTGGAACTTTTGTGCATTGCTGGTAGGAATGCAAAATGACAGTCTATATAGAGAACAGTAAGGAGGTTCATCAAAAAATTATACATAGAATTATTGTAAGATCCAGCAATTCCACTTCTGTGTATGTACTCCAAGAACTAAAAGCAGATATCAAACATTTGTACACCAATGTTCACACCAGCATTATTCACAATAACTACACTATGGAAACAACTGAAGTATCCACTGACGAATGAATTGATTAAACAAAGCAGTATGTATATACAATGGAATATTATGCAGCCTTAAAAAAGGAATGCAATTCTGACACATGCTACTATATGAAACAGCAACAAAACATTTATGCTAAGTAAAATAACCCAATCATGTAAAAGATAAATATTGCATGACTTTATTTACAAGTGGTACACAGGGTACTCAAATCCACAAAAACAGGAATGCAGGTTGCTAGAAAGCAGAAGGTAGGAGGTAGAGGAAGTAGCTTTTAATGTGTATAACTTAAAAAGCTCTAGAGATGGGTAGAGGTTATAGTTATAGAATATGAATTTTAACACCACAGAAGTAAATACTTAAAAAATGGTTAAAATAATAAACTTCGTTATATAAATTTTAGCACAATTAAAAACATACTGCTAAGAGAATGAAACGACAAGCTCCAGACCGTGAAAAGTATTTGTAAAGCATACATCTGATGGAGGATTGTGTTAGCATATATAAAGAAATCTCAAAAGTCATTAAGAAGGAAAAGCAATCCAATGACAAAATGGCAAAGATGTGAACAGAAACTTTAGCAAATAGGATATAATGATGGCAAAAAAGCACACAGAGAGATGCTCAGCATCATTAGCCATTAAGAAAAGGCACATTAAAACAACAGGGAGGCATCACTTCACACCTATCAGAACAATCACAATAAATACTGACAATACCAAATGCTGACAAAGATGTAGAGCAAGTCAACTTTCATACACCATTGGTGGGAATGGAAAATGGTTTGGCAGTTTCATATAAAGTTAAATGTGCACTTACCATATGACCCAGTAATCCCACTTCTAGATATTTACCTTAGAGAAATAAAAACTTATGTTCACACAAAAACCTGCACAAGAATGTTAATATCAATATCATTCATAAAGACCATAACCTGGAAAAACCCAAATCCACTTCAATATGTGAATGGATATGGAATATCCATACAATGAAATGGGACTCCACAAAAATGAATGAGTTATTGATATAAACAACAACTTAGATGAGTCTCAAAAGCATTATGCTGAGTGAAAGAAGCCAGTCTCACAAGATTACACACTGCATGATTCCATTAATATGACAATCTCTAAAAGACAAAGCAAAAGTAATGAAGATACGTGATTGCCAGGAACTTGGGGGGAGCGATGGAGTGAGTCTAAAGGGGGAAGAGTATGAGGAGAGTTTGCCTGAGTAATGGAGCTGCTCCCTCTCTTGATTGTGGTGGTGGATACATGAAATCTACATGATTTACAATCCACAGAATTGTACACCAAATAAGGCCCCATGCAACTTTACTGTAATTTCATTTCAAAATGCTAGTTATGATATAATCATCACCATCATCAACAGTTTTACTGATTAATGATATTCAGAATTATTTGTGCAATGGGATCTAAAATTCAGCTAGGACAATGTAGGTCTGGTACAGTAAAGCTAGAGAAGTAAAAACAAAACTAAATGTAAAATCTTGACAACTTCTAACTGCACTTTAATATTTCATATCAGGACAATATGCTCTCTCTAGTTCATTTCCTGGAAACATATATAGTGAATATGTAATTAAATAAGTGCTCAAGTTAGAAGTCTGGAACCCTAGTTTACATTCCTAAATCTAACACTGTAAGAAAACTCTCGACTTGCCTTTTGTGCCTAATTTTATCTTCCTCTTCATTGAGGTCATGTACTTGTCTGCACTTGTCTTTTTGTGGTATGCTGTGAAGGTTTAAAGCAAGGAGTTTCAAAGATAGGAAACAGAACAGAGACACACACCCATCCCCCACCCCAATAGTAGGTACTGCTCTGATTTCCATGTATTACCTCACTTAAACTTCCTAACAACTCCACATCACAGCTACTCATTTCACAGAGAAAGAGCTAAAGTGTAGAAAGGTGATGTGATCAGCATTTCACAGTAAGTGGGGGAGCCAGGTTTTTCCCAGACAGTCTGCTTCCAGAGCCTATGTTCACACTCAGTAAGCCATGGTATCTCTCCACAGAAAGCTGTTCATCTGTTCCCTTCTCCCTTACCACTGCCCTGGCAACTGTATAGCTTATCTTTAACACCATTCAATCACTCACATGACCTTAACATACAGACACAGTTCGGATTTCTCTCCTAGGCTTCATTGCTTCATTTCTGCATCAATATCTGCATATACTAATCCCACCATCTTCACAAATTCAGTGTGTTTAAATGAAACACATCACCCTTCTTCAGACTTAATTTTATCTACTGTTAAGTCACACACCTCTGAATTATCTGCATTATCTCTCCATATTCCTCTCTACTTCATTCTCAGTATCAATTCTTCATGTCATATCACATACAAATCCACCTCTCCAGTTTCACTGTCATCGTCCCAGTCCAGATGCTGAAAACTCAGTGACTTCAATGCCATTCTCTTTCCTCTTTCGAATTCTTTCTCGGCCACTACATTTATCATTTCCAAAAAGAGCTTTTATTATCTTACTATATTCAAATGCACTAACTGAACAAACTAACTCCACATGTCTGTATTATCAAGCAAATAAGAGTCAAGAATTCTGAGCTACCTTGTCAAGCTGATCTCTTAAAAAATGCCCCCAATTAACAATGTTCACACCAATCACTGCAACTGAAATGCTACTCCCTCTCCTGGCCACTAGATAGGCTTAAGAGTATTTCAATCTTACCTCTTCTGAGGCCTTCTTCAGTCATACCAATACAACTCTCAACTTCTGTGGCACTGAGCCAATATATCTAGCATTACTGCTAAAGGGTACACGTGTGCACCTCCATGCCAATTAGTACAAGACTAGGAACCATTTCTTAAACCCTTTCTGTGAACCTTCTACCATGCCGAGTAAACTTAACTGCTACACGAATTCTTTCTGGCTAAGATACATACTGTTTATGTATATATTTTGCATTACTTTACAGTCTAGTCTAAAGACCCATCATAATCGCACTTTATTTCCCCTTCATGTGTCTGACATTATTCCCTGCCATACCCTATTTTGCTGGCACACTGAACGTCTCACAGTTCCCCACATATACCAGGTCCTTTCACAGTATGGCTCCTATCCATCCAGTAGCTGTAATGTCCTTTTCCCTTTACAGTCAAAAGAATGCCTGTTGCTCTGTTAAGATAGTACAAATGTCAACTGCTGACTCCCCCAACTAGATTCGGATGCTTCGTGTTCTATGCCACCTTGACGTTTGATTCAACTCTTTATAACACTTTCAATGGTGTCATGCAAGTAACTATATATATACTTGTGTCGCTCATGGGACTCTATATTTCTCAAGAGTAGTAACATCTTGTCTTTCACTAATTCCCCATATCTAATGCCCTGACGTTAAATCTTTCTTTCAGCTAAAGAACACTTCAGAAGCAGTGAGGATCCCATACCTTGGTAATAAAGAGCCTTAAGGAAGGAGTGACGATCAGTTCCCTGAAATAAAGACTTTTCAATTTCCATTTCTCGCCTGGTCAGTTGTTTGCTCTTTGAAAACCTCTGTGGCAGGCAAAGGATGCGCTGGCGCTCTGAGATCCTTTCTTCAATATCTTGAAGCCGTTTCTGTATTGCTTCAGGGGTGGCCCTCAGCTTTGTCCTCTGAAACCAGGAAAATTAGATGCTTTGTATCATAAAGAACAAAAGTAAAACTGAGCCCTCACTTAAGAAGATGAGAAAGGCCCAGAAATTGGAAGTGTTTATGTAAGTTTTAGTTAAAGGTTAGCCAACAACTTCTCTTTAGCCGTTGTTTCTAACTTAAAAACAAAAGATTCAGACTAACACATGGTTTCATGAAAACTAAGAGCATAAAGGTTCGCAAACACAAAAAAGTGAGCACATGCTGGGGAGTTCAGCTGTGCCCACTTGCAAATGATCACCCCAACAGGACTGGTTGGTGGTTTCCACACCCCAGCATAGAGGCACAGAGTTGGGCATGAGATTGTTCTCTAGAGAGAGGCTTGTGGCTATAAGAAAGCCCTCACTGGTGCTGGGTACACCACCCAGGCACAGCTCATTGCAAGAGTGCCCACACTCCTGGAAGTAGCCCTTGTCCTAGCTTTAAAGCTCCTGTAGGGAAGGAATTTTATCAACACAGGCACACACATACATAAATGAAAATAAATACATCCTTTTAAGAAAACAGCCTTTTTACCTTTTCACCTGAAACATGGCTTTTCCAGATCAGTATTTCTGTTTCATTGAGCCCTAGTTCCCTGAGAGAAGCGGTTTCCTGGTCTTTTTCATGTAGTGTCTGGAACTGGGATAAAGTCATTGTCCCGGCTACTTCCTTCCCAAAGGGCTTGTACATGGTACCCGGGGCAAAGCTCTCTTTCTTAGAGACACATCTGCAAAACACAGAAGAAGAGAATAAGACCATCTTGTGGTTACAATTCACAGTAACCACATTACATATTATGATGAGGCCGCCTATTATTATAGGCCCAGTGAAGCTCATAGGCAAGTCTCTCTTACATTCTTTTGCCAGGGGGAAGCACCATGGCAACAGAATGGAGTTCCATGAATAGTCCCCAAATATCTAAGACTAATAAATGACTAAATTAATGTTTACTGAGTTCCCCCAAGCACTGCGTGCTGTGTTCTGTACTGAGAGATAACAGTAAAAAGAAAACAAAAATCATGGGGCTAGAGAGATAGGAAAAAAATTAAGAGCTCTTATTGCTCTTGTAGAGGACCTGGGCCAGTTCCCAGCACCCACATGGCAGCTCACAACCACCTCCAACTCTAGTTCTAGAGGATTGAAAACCCTCTGGCCTCTGCAGGCAATGGCACACATGGTTCACATTAACTCCCCCAACATCCCCCACACACAAACAAAATAAATCCTCTATTAAAAAAAATATCAAAAGAACAGCCACCTATATAAAGAACAGCATAAGGGAGGCAACTAAATAGGAAATGACCATGTAGAATTATATATACCATGTTAGGGGAAATACAGGATGTTATACTAGGACACACTAAAAGTACTTGGTCCTGGCTGAGGAAGATACAGGAAGTTTCCTACAAAAAGGGACAAAAGTAAAATCTGACCTGTATAAAGAGGTCTTCCTAAGAAAGAGGCTGTGTGAGAGTGGAGGGCACCCACCAGGCTTTAAGACTGATGTATAACCTACAGGTGATGGTCTATTATAACTGCCCTGTTTACAAATCGATACTCACTCTTGAATGGAGACAGAGGTATCAAGTTGATGTTGAAGGAGGCTCTTCAGCTGCCTCTCACCTTCTGTTTCCAACTCCTCCAGGACATGCTCTTCATTCTTCACACAGCTATTTATCCTGGAGCAGATATGAAACACACACACACGCACGCACGCACACGCGCGCACGTGCACACACACACACACATACACACACGGAAAGTAGAAGAGACATGTAATCCGAAATATATTCTCTTCATCTATATTACCTATCAGTGATCCCTTTGTTTAAAGATATTTTTTTCACTGTTCCATCACCCTGAGTATTCATTATACAAACATTTACTAAATGCCTATGTACACAACATGTATTGTACTAGCTACTTGTACTGGCTCGTTTTATGTCAAATAACACAAGCCAGAGTCATTTTGGAAGAGGGAGCCTCAATTGAGAGAATGCCCCCACCAAACTGGCCTATAGGCAAAGCCTATGGTGTATGTTCTTGAGTGATAATTGACATGTGAGGGCCACACGGTGTGTGGTGTCAGCCCTGGATAGGTGGTCTGAGATCTGTCAGCTGGAATGAACCCTTTCCTCCCCAAGTTGCTTTTGCTCATGGCGCTGTGTCACAGCATAGAAAACTTAACTAAGACACTACTTGTGGAAATGAAAGCTATTCCAAGCATAGTTTTGATCAAGGGATTTCTAATATATTTAGGGAGAAGATATACGTACTCTTGTGCTGTGTACACGTGCCTACAAAGAGAAAGAAGCCGGATAAACAATGATAGAGAAACATGCCCAAATGAGTAAAGGTTTGCAGAAGAAAGGGATAAATGGGAGCTAAAATGGAAGAGAAGATTACAGAAAGGTATTCTTAAATTGGAGCTCAAAAGAAAAGGTGAAATGGGAAGTCAAATATGAAAAGACAAAAACACATACTGTGGCCTAATGGAATTGAGGCTTTGAACTACTGAACTAGGGATTCTGGGCCAGACCTGAGCACATGGGTATTAGAAAGCAATTTATCATGCCAATAGGTGTCAAAGAGTAAGCAGTGTTTTAGGCCATATGGACTGGAAGGTAAACTAGAATTACTAGTAGGAAACTGTTGAGGTAAAAGGCAATGAAGTTCCAGACTAGGGCAGTAATAGCAGAAATATAAAGAAGGGATAACATGAGAGAAATCTTCTGGGGGATGATGGTAAAAGAAAGTAGAACAAATCAATAAATAAAAAATAGTAACACTCAAATTCCAAACTCTTGGTACGGTACAAATTTCAAACTGTTGCTACAGTTTGACAGAATGTGGGTAGCAATAAAGGAAAAGAGCTCCAGATGAAATAAACACCTAGGACAGGGAAAATCAGTGTCATAAATACCTATACTGAGTTGTCCAACTCTTACGACTCTGAAATGCGGCATGAAGTACACTTCCAAGACACGGAGTCTGAGGGAACAACAAAAATGGCTGGCTACAGGCAGGACAGTCTGAGGTTGAACATACAGACAGGGTTTTTTTTTTTTTTTTTTTTTTTTTTTTTTCCCAGACACAAGGTTTCTCTGTGTATCTTTGGCTGTCCTGGAACTAACTCTTGTAGACCAGGCTGGTCTCGAATTCACAGAGATCCGCCTGCCTCTGCTTCCCTGAGTGCTGGGATTAAAGGCATGCGCCACCATCACCTGGCTCAAAGAGAACTCTTAAGCCACCTGTGTCCACAAGACCTGAAGGCTTTGGAGAAGAACTTCTGAAGGAAGATCAGAAAATACAAAGAGTGTCTTAATAACTTTCTAGCCCAGACACTCCTTTGGAGAAAAGTGGATCATGGCTGTGAGCCAGTCTCAAGCAACTGAAAATTCTTGCTCAAGTATCAAGAAATAACACAAACATTTAACATGTAATCACAGATTAGACAAAAACACAAAATGTGTCAAATCCATGAGAAAAACAAATACTACATTTCTTACAAAACATAAATATTACGTTTCTTATGAAATGGACATTGTCTACCGGGGTTTATAATAAAACATAGGAAAATCCCTGTAATTATGATTCCTATAATGACCTGGACCTATATTTAAAAACTCTAGAATAACTTACTTTGGCACTAACGCTTAAATAAAACTCTTTAAGCCTTTCTATCTTTATTACGTTGAATCCCAAACAGTTATTGCTAAATTTAATTTTTAAAAATGAATAAGCATATCAACACATATGAATCTATAGAAAAATACTGTTTTAAAAAAGCTTGCTACAGAAAAAGAAAGACAGTATGTTCCCATTTATATAAGGCTAAATAAAACCAGATGAAACTAGGAATATTTTGTTCAGGAATTAAACTCATATGTGGTAAATATATCAAGAAACAAAACAAAAAAAGGCAAGGGAGTGTCTGGCAGTGGTGGAGCACACCTTTAATCCCAGCACTCTGGAGGCAGAGGCAGTTGTGGATCTCTGTGAGTTTGAGGCCAGCCTGGTCTACAAGAGCCAGGATAGGCTCCAAAGCTACAGAGAAACCCTGTCTCAAAAAACCAAAACAAGGTAAGGGAGTAATTGGTGCAAAATCCTAGCTAGAAGGGGGAAACAATCAGGGGAGAAGCAGGGAGACTGTTTTAAGGTATGTATGGGGATGATGTCCTACAGCTTACACCTCAACAGGGTACAGCCCTTTTTAATTATTCCTTAAGATCTACGTTAGATCCATTATTTTTCAAGTAGGAGGTATGCCATCAAAAAAATAGCTAAAATGTGATTTTAACTTAGGGAGGGAAACCAATAACTTAAAAGAAAAATTCAGGAAACTAAGAAAGCATTAAGTATTCCTAAAGGGGTTAGTTGTGCCATACCATCCCAGAGTGAAGACTCTCCTGCAGAGTGAATCTTCTAAAACTACAGTGGACTCTGAAGGATTCCTGTCCTGTCAGAAACTGTGAAGCTCTGGGTCTCAAGGAAGACCCTTTCAGGTTCAAAGGGCCATTTCCTGCAGAACCCGCAGGGGAAACTGTCCTGCAGCGATACCTTCCTTCAACCAAAACACGCCGGTTTTGAGCTGAATTTGGAGAAACAAACTACCACTCTCTAACTTTAGATCCGAAAACAAAGGCCCTGTGTGGCCAGCCCACTATGTCTTTAAAATCCAGACAATGTAAGCGCCCACCCTGAGACCCTCCGGAGGGTGAGACCTAGGAAGGACGGGCCAGGAAGGAGCTGACTCGCATGTCTCCAGAGCTAGGAAAGTGCTAGCCAGGGCAGCTTCAGAGGCCTCTGCCCAGAGGGAAGCATTCCTACAAATCCGCCCGGCCTAGGCCCTTCCAGAGCACCAACAGACTGGTGAGGCCGGCCTTCCCTCCTCCCTTCTCCTTTGTCTTCTCGCTAGAAAGAACCCGCCCCTCGAAAACCTGACACATCCCAAACAAAAGGAAAAGGCCATTTTCAAAAAGTAAAAGATAAAAGTTGCCGCCAGCAACTCGGACGTGCCCTTACCTCTTCATGTTTCCGCAGGCCCCTATCTCTAACTTGGGCAACCAGGCCCCAGACCTCAACTCCCAGAAATCTATGCGGCAGACTCGAAGGTAATGGAGGTGGAGCGAGGGACTCTGGGAATTGTAGTAGAACAGAACTATGTGGTGATGGAAAGAGAAAGCAGGTATTGGATGCACCTGTATAGTGTAAATTAAGAATTTCTAGTACAGGTTAAAGATAACACCCAAAATATACACTTCATGAACCTGGGATTCACCTTTGGCTTCTTGACCCTTTGAGTATCAATAAATCCTAGAATTTCTCTAGTCACCTTCGAATTTGTTCTTTTTTTTTTTTTTTAGCGATACAGAACTTATTTTATTTTTTCTTTTTCTTTTTATTATTGTTATTACAAATTTTCACCTCCTCCCCTCCTCCC